CAATTATATTAATATTTCTTAAAAAGCGGTTTTATTTATTATATTATTCATTTTTTGTTTTATTTTTTATATAAAGAATATAAAGTTTATAAATAATAAAGTTAAATATAAATAAAGTTTCAGAATTACCTGGATACAGTCGATGTAGAAGTTATGGAAGCAACAAACCTTGTAGATCGCAATCATGCTATTTCAGAAGATGATATGATTTTTTATTATGCTCCACATTGCGGTTATGGTATTTATAATAATATAATTTATTCACATCGGAATGCTAGAGAATTAACGAGAATTGTTATTATTGGAAATAATTTCCTTGATTTCGATCCAGTTTTGCTGCAGAAATACGAACTTTTTGCTTTACTCAAATTTAAAAGCGCTTGTCAGTGCATTTGTTTTCCAAAATTCTCCAAAGATGACACATCATTTAATCATACTGCCATACATTATTTATCACATTCTTCTTCAGTTCCTCATATTCATTATGATGAATCTTTGCAAAGTGGATTGTTTATTGCAGAATTTTAATTTATTCGGTTTTTTTTTTTAGTTTTGGTTTAGTTTTGTTTGTTTGTTTGTATATATTTTTATGTACCTATATTCGAAGAATAAAAATTAATTTTTTTTCTTTTTCTCAATATTTAGAATGTTTGAAATCTTTTCTGTTTGGAAGTTTCTTTAGAAGAGGTTAAGAAGTTTATTAATAATTAGTAAACTTATAACTTTATTATTAATCCTTTAAGGTGGTACATATTATGCCTAATAGTAATTAATATGATAAAATTTTCAGGTCGATGTTGAATGAAGCGTGTATAGCGGCTTCCAGATTACTCAAACCAGTGCTTAATTTTCAAGCCATATCGCAGAGGTTTTTGCCGAAGAGGGAGCATCTTCCTCGTTTGTTTTGGGATAAAGATGATCTGAAAAAAAAAGCGGATGGGCAATATACCCATAAACCTTTAGTTATACGTCGTCTTGGTGGTCGAGATCCCGTAACAGGTTAATTTCTTTTATTAGCAAAAGCATTGCAAATAATAGATTGTAGATATTATAAATTATAAGAAAACAAGAAAAGAATTTATCCCAAATTCATTTTTTAAATTCATTTTATTCAATGATATTATTGGAATTTTTGTTATAGTTATATTATTTAGCATATTATGCCGTTATGTAGAAACGGTGTATATTTTTTAAATAGAATAATTCAATTGAATTCCAAATTAATCAATTAATTTGCATTATTTATTGAAAAAAACACGAAATAGGTGGGATTCGGAGATTTCAATGTTTAGTTTCTAAATGACATTAGTGATTTTTAGGTCGAAAAGTGAACCAGCATATAGGCGGAGGTGTAAAGTTCGACTATTTCATTATCGATTATCACCGTCGAGGTCCTATAGAAGAAAATCAGACATATGATGAGAGAGTACTATTTATTTATTTTATCTTTAGATATATTATATATTTTTTCTAGAACTATTAAAATGGATGTCTTTTGTTTTAAACGCACTTTAGGCTAGCAAATAAATTTACTGCTGATATTTTATTACTTTTCATGTATAATTTTAATTTTCCTAAGAAAAAAAAATTTCCCTCGTTCAGCAGAAAAAATATTAGAGAGGAAATATTCATTAACATTCATTCATTAAAAATATATTTATTCATTCATTAAAAATATATTTTTACTTCATTTGTTACTTTATTATTTTATTAATTTTTTAGGTAATTGAAGTCAGACGCGACCCAAATCGTAGTAGTCATATCGCTTTAGTTGCTGGTTC